AGCTAGCAGTTAATACCAGTGTACATATACTAAGTGACATATAAATCCGAACACCCAGTTTAAATGGTTTTATTTTAATAAAATTTTGTATAAGTACTTAATGAAGCATAATAAGTAAATGATAAAAATTTCAAAATGATTGCACTGCTTTAAAGCCCTTTGACCTTTAATAATGTGTGGATGCACCCTGATGTGCTACGCATTCTCCAACGCGCCTAGGCATGCTTCTGATTAGGTGGTCAATGTCCTCCTGTGGTATCTCATTCCAGGCAACCACCAACTCCTCTCGAAGTGCTTCTAGAGTCTGAGGAGGACGTTGCAAATTGAGCAATCTCCTACCCATCATATCCCACACGTGCTCAATTGGGGATAAGTCGGGAGATCTTGGTGGCCATGGTAACAACGCGACATCATTATGTTGAAAGAAGTCTATTGTGACTCTTGCAACATGTGGTCAGGCATTATTTTGTTGGAAAGTTGGATCTGCCAGGGTGTCAAGATAGGGTAAAAGATGGGGTTCTAGAACTTCGTGGATATAACGCTGCGCGTTCATGTTACCTCTGATGAAGATTAAAGGTGACCTGGAACCATAAGATATAGCTCCCCAAACCATAACTCCAACACTGTGATGAACATCTCTTTCAACAAAAAACTGTGGATTCCTCCTTTCACCACGTCGCCTTCTGACCCTGGCACGACCATCGTGCATGCCTAAACAAAATCGAGACTCGTCACTAAAGACAATACTGTTCCATTCCTGATCCCAGAGTGACCGTTGTCTGCACCACTCAAGGCGATTACGTCGGTGTTCTCGAGTTAAAGGGAGGACCCAGTGTGGCAGGTATGAAAACAAGACAAAACTTCTCATTCGTCGGTAAACACTTCGCATGCAATAGGTCTTCCGTGTTCTGCAAACCATTCATTTGCAATGGACCTGGTAGTGGAGAAACGGTCCCTTAAGGCCAATAATCTTAGGCGACGATCTTCACGGTCTGTTGTTCTACGGCGGCGTCCAGTGCCCCTTGCTCTTTGCGTACGGCCTTCTCGAAGCCATGCCTGACAACACCTAACCACAGTGTCTACACTTGTGTGCACTCTAACTGCAATTGCCCGAAAAGAAAGTCCAGCTTCCCGAAGTCCCACTATACGGCCCCTATCAAACTCACTAAGTTGACGAAATCGTACAGGTCTCCGTACTCTAGGCATCGTAACCGATCGTAAAGGATGTCAAGAACCAAAATCCGCCAACGTTGATTCTTTACTACGGCTGAAATATTCATTTTTAGAGCGTTAGTGAATTAAAAAAAGCAGTATAAAAACTGGAATGTCCAACTGATAAGGCTGAAAATTTTTTCACCTGTTATTTACAGTAAGATACATACATTCGCCAACTTTTATTAAAATAAAACCATTTAAACTGGGTGTTCGGATTTATATGTCACTTAGTATATTTTGTCAGATGTTTATCATGTTTGTATTCGAAGATAAAAAACCAGTTAAATACGTGGTGTTGGTACACTACTATTTTTTGTCGTTGAAAGCCTATAAGCTCTATAGTTTTTGTCGAAAATTCTCTTAATGATAATCGTTGTTTCATTGTCAAAAATATATATTAATTAAATAAAACCAAAGTTCAGCTTGTATTAAAAATCGACTTTATAGAACGATATACTTTTGAAAATGTTCAAGGTCATTTCAAGGTCAATTTTTTTCAAATACACACCTGCAGGATCAGAATCGGTTAAAAATCATTTGAAACAAGCACCGCACTTCCTTCGATAAAATTTACCTAAAGATCTGACCTTGCCAGTTAATTTCTTCACTATTGGTTTGATATTTATTTTTTAAGTTTTCCTAGCAGCACACATTTGGCTTTTATGTGACCTCAAGTGGTCTTGAATTCTAATACAATTTCCGGCTCTCTGGATTGCCGGCATCTAATAGGTGTTTCTATTTGGAAAAATAGACTTTATCTTGAAATGACCTTGAAGGTGAAGTTGAAGGTCAAATCCAAGATCACCGCTACTTCTAGAGGTTTTCTTGGCAGCACCAATTTGACCTTTATTAAACCTATTTGACCTTGATCTTGAATTTTAATGCATATTTGAGCGTAAAATTTCACGTTCTTCCGATTGTCAGCATCAAAAACAGTTGACCTTGGGTAAGTCTTAACGAGGGAGAACCTTGAAAGTGAGGTTCAAGGCTAAATTTAAGATTTTTAAAATTTAAAAAAGAACTGACCTTGATAGTTATTTTCGTCAGATATTCTGTAAGATTCATTGCGGTTTTCCTAGCAGCACACATTTGGCCTCCATTTGACCTTTAGTGGTAACCATGACCTTGGTCATCTATCCGTAGTTGAACGCAAAATTTTCCGCTCTTTCGATTGCCAGCATAAATAGGGATTTTCATTAAAAAAACAAGTTGATCTTGAAATGGCCTTTGAGGTGAAGATCAAGGTCAAATCCAAGATCTCCAATCACTGCCTCGTTAAAATTTAACAAAGACCTGTCCTTAACAGCTGTTTTCATTACTTACCCTGTGAGATTTTTAGATTAGAGGTTTTCCTAGTCGCACACATTTGACCTCTAGATGGTACCCTGATAATGGAATTGTTCCGCTCTTTCGATTGCCGACATCAAAATGAGGATTTTCGTTATAAAAAAATCAAGTTGATTTTGAAATAACCTTGGAGGTGAAGGTTAAGGTCAAATCCAAGGTCAAAGTCCACTTCCTTGTTGAAATGTACCAAAGATCTGACCTTGATAGTTATTTTCATCACTCAATCTGTGAGATTTGTAGATGTATTCCTAGCAGCACTTTGATCTTTAGTTGACCTCTAGTAGTCACATTGACTTTGACCTTTAATTGTGTTTTAACCTGAATTTGAAATAATAGAGTTGACCTTGATTTAACCTTGAAGGTCAAATTCAAGGTCACCTTTGACTTCCTTGCTGAAAGTTACGGAAGAGTTGACCTCGATTTATTCCAAAAATACCCTGCCGAGAAAATACAGAGGGTTCCGGGACTTTTGTGTTAGGCTGTATAAAAGTTTAGCTGATTTTGTACATATTTATATATACTAAGTGACATATAAATCCGAACAACCAGTTTAAATGGTTTTATTTTAATAAAAGTTGGTGAATGTATTTATCTTACTGTAAATAACAAGTGAAAAAATTTTCAGCTTTATCAGTTGGACATTCCGGTTTTTACACTGCTTTTCTTTAATTCACTAACGCTCTAAAAATGAGTATTTCAGCCGCAGTAAAGAATCAACATTGGCGGATTTTGGTTCTGACATCCTTTACGATCGGTTACGATGCCTAGAGTACGGAGACCTGTACGATTTCGTCAACTTAGTGAGTTTGATAGGGGCCGTATAGTGGGACTTCGGGAAGCTGGACTTTCTTTTCGGGCAATTGCAGTTAGAGCGCAAAGAAGTGTAGACACTGTGGTTAGGTGTTGTCAGGCATGGCTTCGAGAAGGCCGTACGCAAAGAGCAAGAGGCACTGGACGCCGCCGTAGAACAACAGACCGTGAAGATCGCCGCCTAAGATTATTGGCCTTAAGGGACCGTTTCTCCACTACCAGGTCCATTGCAAATTAATGGTTTGCAGAACACGGAAGACCTATTGGCATGCGAAGTGTTTACCGACGAATGAGAAGTTTTGGCTTGTTTTCATACCGGCCACACTGGGTCCTCCCTTTAACTCGAGAACACCGACGTAATCGCCTTGAGTGGTGCAGACAACGGTCACTCTGGGATCAGGAATGGAACGGTATTGTCTTTAGTGACGAGTCTCGATTTTGTTTAGGCATGCACGATGGTCGTGCCAGGGTTAGAAGGCGACATGGTGAAAGGAGGAATCCACAGTTTTTTGTTGAAAGACATGTTCATCACACTGTTGGAGTTATGGTTTGGGGTGCTATAGCTTATGGTTCCAGGTCACCTTTAATCTTCATCAGAGGTAACATGAACGCGCAGCGTTATATCCACGAAGTTCTAGATCCCCATCTTTTACCCTATCTTGACACCCTGGCAGATCCAACTTTCCAACAAGATAATGCCCGACCACATGTTGCAAAAGTCACAATAGACTTCTTTCAACATAATGATGTCACATTGTTACCATGGCCACCAAGATCTCCCGACTTATCCCCAATTGAGCACGTGTGGGATATGATGGGTAGGAGATTGCTCAATTTGCAACGTCCTCCTCAGACTCTAGAAGCACTTCGAGAGGAGTTGGTGGTTGTCTGGAATGAGATACCACAGGAGGACATTGACCACCTGATCAGAAGCATGCCTAGGCGCATTGGAGAATGCGTAGCACATCAGGGTGCATCCACACATTATTAAAGTTCAAAGGGATTTAAAACAGTGCAATCATTTTGAAATTTTTATCATTTACTTATTATGCTTCATTAAGTACTTATACAAAATTTTATTAAAATAAAACCATTTGAACTGGGTGTTCGGATTTATATGTCACTTAGTATATTTAATGGCGTTTTTTTAATTTTAGACAAACAAAGCCAATACGTGTTGCAATGTTATCATTACCAGAATCGTTCATGCATCAGAAAAGAATGACAATTTTAGGAATTTTCGTTTTTTTTCTGAAAATACTTTATATTATAGAACTTTCCAGATGCTGCTTTCTGATAGACGATAATTTAAAACGTTCCCCTAGTTCAACTGAATTCGTATCTGTTCCCATTTCAGATACCGCAATGTAGGTGTATTATTAGGAAAATTACATTATTTCTATTTCTACTCATTAAATTCTCATCCGTTTTTTTTTAATAATCCTTACACGATGCATTGGAAGTGAAGTTACAAATTACAAGATGCAGAATTAATATTGATTGATTGATAAGAATGATAACACGTGAAATGCAACAATTTAATCTATTGACTCCAATGATTCACACGTACCGTAAGGAATACTGGAATAGACAAACTGCAAAATCCTCCTCCTATTGAGATTCTGATTGGATATTTGGCGAACATCATAAATATGAGGATTATCTTCTGTAAACGTAAATCTACCCCTACCCAGTTGGTGCTGAATATTGAGTACGCTATGTGGTCACTCTGGAATCATACAAAGTATTGAAGAAAATGTAAGATTTGATATCTAGGCGCGGCCATATCCAACGAAAGGCAATGTAAAGATATTTTTTTCAATATTTTGTTCCATCAACCAAAGAATTACCAGAGATTTGAAAGTTTGGGACAATCTTTGATTTTTGCTCATAAATCCGCTGCCAATGCTTCGATTCTTACAAATAAAGCAGAATAATCTACTAAACCAAAATCGCTTCGCTGAGAATCAATACAGGGTGTTTTCAAAGTTGGGTCATTCATTTTAACAGCTTGTAGATCTCTTTTTATAGCATGCGGATGTACTACTGACGAAACATGATTATTGTGGAAATTGTGTATTCCATTGCGTGTAAATGTGGCCTTGTCTTCCTCACTTTACTAAGAGAAACATCAAGTTGAGCTGCTATAGCTCTAGTACTCATTGTTGGGTCGTCTTCGACCATTTCTAAAATGTCTTCCTCAATTTGTAACATTTCAGATTGAGCAGGTCTTCCAGCGTGACCTCCTCGTTGTTATTCTAATATCCTGTGTCACGAAGCCTAATAACTAAATTTACAAACATCCGTGGGGCCGGATCATTTTTTAAAGGAAACCTTTCGGCATACAACCTGCATGCTGCGGCTGCATTTTGTTGGCACTCTCATGTCCATTGTTTTCGTAAGCATGGGCCATTTTTTGGCACAAAATAATCAGACAAATTATTTACTTTTATTAAAAGACATAAAACTGATCGAACAAAAGACCATACAACAACACAAAAAATTTGCCAAATTTTGATAAACGATACACACACGGCACCGGTCAAGAATATCAAAAAATCTGTGTATTAACATTCTTATTTTTTAAAACTTCTAATCCTTTGCTATTTCTTTTATTCTGCAACTTTTTGTATATCAACTCCTTTCTTAGAAGCAATTGAAGTAAAACACTCAACTTTAAAAACACCCTGTATAATTAAAGTCTAGGTATTCGAAGATACAGGGTGTCCCAGAAGTCGACGTCAAGCCGAAACCGGGTGATAGGCAAAGTCATAACAGCTATCAGAAAAATATTTAAAAAAATTTTATGTATGTGTTTTGAACATTATAGGTCTTTGAAAAAATATATAAATTTCACACCCTACGGCAGTCTGTCAACTCCTGTTACTACAAATATTAACTTTTTTTGGATTTTATTTTTACAATGTAATGATGAATAATGCATCTTCAAACTGGTGTCTCAACCTTACTGCCAACTTTTCTCGTTTAGGAAAAATTGCCAGTTATTTCCCAACCAAGTATTCCAAAGTAAAACTTTGCTCAACTTTAACTGGCTGTACTGGAAAAAATGTACTACGAGAGTTTGGCAAGTAACCTTAAAAGTTGGCGCATTTAATAAGGATTCCAAAATGGTATAACATTTAGAAGATTACTCGTGAACTTATGCACAATTTTTATTTGAAGAAAAACTGATGAAATTTTTTCAAAATTTCCAAATTAAACAGCGATTATGAAAACGCACAAGGACCCTTAAAGATAACTGTTTACACAACAGTGGGCGTCAAAATGCTGCTGATGATGATTTACCTTTACAGCAAATGCTCAAACTGTTTTCCTTCAGCCGCAATACATGCTCGACATCTTCTTAAAAAAGATGGGATTATTAAACGAGCGAATCCACGGTTATTAACAAACTCAGCTGCTTCTAATAATCTTTGCCGTAGCTCAGCTACATTTTGAATCGGCCTGAAATACACTTTTTCTTTTACAGTTACTCAGGAAAAAAAATCTTACGGATTTAAATCTGGTGACCGGGCTGGCCACGGTATTGTACCAGACCGCCCTATCCATGTGCCTGGAAAGTTTTGATCGAGATACTCTCTCACTGAGAGTGCATAGTGCGCTGGGCAGCCATCATGCTGAAACCACATGTCCCTGTAAATACTCAGTGGCACGTCCTCCAATAAATTTTCTAAATGATTTTGCAAAAAACCTAAATAAACCTCAGCAGTCAAAGTCTCTGGGAACTCAAACGGACCGATTATTTTACCATTTAAAATTCCTGTCCAATGGGGTTTATCTTGAAGCGATATTGAGATTTATCTTCTCTCATCAAATGTGGGTTTGCTACGTGCCAATCGTGTAAGTTATGCAGGTTCATGTACGCATCTTTCTTAAATGTGGTCTCATCTGACCATAAAATTTTTTCAAAGAAACGTGGATCTTCCCTGTGTCTTTCTAACATTATGCGACAAAAAGCAACTCGGGGCTCATAATCCCGGGGCAGAAGAGCTTGAGCACGCTGTACGTGGTATGTACGTTTTTTTGCAAGATTCTATGGGCTGTACTTTTGGGCACACCTGTTTTTAGTTCTATTGCACGCACTGAAGTACTCGGGTCTTCTTCGACAGCTCCTAGCACCACGTCTTCGTAAGGAAGGAAATATCTTCCCTCACCGTGTGATTGGTTTGGTAGTTGGCCCTCTGAGAACAGTAAGCGGTGCACATTTGTGAACACTCGATGATCTGGATGACGAGCTGCATTCGGGTACCTCTCACAGTAAAGTCTCGCTGCAGCACTAGCGTTGCATCTGCATTCCCCATAAATGAGGTGCATGTTAGCATATTCTTGTACGGTGTACACGGACATAGCGGCACTGCACAATCACACTATCAAAGATAGTTTAAGGAAAGCAAATGTTGTTTTGAAGAGCAATTAAACAGTCCAAATCCAAATCACAAGCGATCAACAGTCCAGTTCACGAATCCAAAATTAGTAACAGTACGAAATCAACAAGCACGAACATGTAAAGATGCGCAGTAAACGAAGGAGTACTGATCGGTATCAAAGTGTTCAATAGCAAGTAAGTGATGTGCTTCATCCATACCACATACAGCGTGTTCAACCTCTCCTGCCCCGGGATTATGAGCCCCGAGTTGCCTTTTGTCGCACAATGTTAGAAAGACACAGGAAAGATCCACAGTTCTTTGAAAAAATTTTATGGTCGGATGAGACCACATTTAAGAAAGATGGGTACATGAACCTGCATAACTTACACGAGTGGCACGTAGCAAACCCACATTTGATGAGAGAAGATAAATCTCAATATCGCTTCAAGATAAACCATTGGACAGGAATTTTAAATGGTAAAATGATCGGTCCGTTTGAGTTCCCAGAGACTGACTGCTGAAGTTTATTTGGATTTTTTGAAAAATCATGTACAAAATTTATTGGTGGACGTGCCACTGAGTATTTACAGGGACATGTGGTTCCAGCATGATGGCTGCCCAGCGCACTATGCACTCTCAGTGAGAGAGTATCTCGATCAAAACTTTTCAGGCAGATGGATAATTCGGTCTGGTACAATACCGTGGCCAGCCCGATCACCTGATTTGAATCCTTTAGATTTTTTTCCTGGGGAACTGTAAAAGAAAAAGTGTATTTCAAGCCGATTTAAAATGTAGCTGAGCTACGGCAAAGACTATTGGAAGCAGCTGAGTTTGTTAATAACCGTGGATTCGCTCGTTTAATGACCCGATCTTTTTTAAGAAGATGTCGAACGTGTATTGCGGCTGAAGGAAAACAGTTTGAGCATTTGCTGTAAAGGTAAATCATCATCAGCAGCATTTTGACGCCCACTGTTGTGCAAACAGTTATCCTTAAGGGTCCTAGTGCGTTTTCATAATCGCTGTTTAATTAGGAAATTTTGAAAAATTTTCATCAGTTTTTCTTCAAATAAAAATTGTGCATAAGTTAACGAGTAATCTTCCAAGTGTTATACCATTTTGGCATCCTTATTAAATGCGCCAACTTTTAAGGTTACGTGCCAAACTCTCGTAGTACATTTTTTTCCAGTACAACCAGTTAAAGTTGAGCAAAGTTTTACTTTGGAATACTTGGTTGGGAAATAAGTGGCAATTTTTCCTGAACGAGAAAAGTTGGCAGTAAGGTTGAGACACCAGTTTGAAGATGCATTATTCATCATTACATTGTAAAAATAAAATCCAAAGAAAGTTAATATTTGTAGTAACAGGAGTTGACAGACTGCCGTAGGGTGTGAAATTTCTATATTTTTTTCAAAGACCTATAATTTTCAAAACACATACATAAATTTTTTTTAAATAATTTTCTGATAGCTGTTATGACTTTGCCTATCACCCGGTTTCGGCTTGACGTCGACTTCTGGGACACCCTGTATACACCTGTATCACACACAGAAAAGAGTGGCTTCAGTTAATTTCGCAAAATCTTTGATGTCCTGAACAAATGGCTTACTGGGCATAGGCCCCAAAACCCAACGGGTCCCAAGATATAGACCGTATAAGTTAGTCTAGAGTGGTGGCGGTCTTACCAGCTATCTGATCTATCTATTATGTATGTATCGAAGAAAGAGACTAAACCAAAACAATGATCATCGCGTGATGATTGCGTGATGATTGCGTGATCAGTGCAGTGATATATTTCAAGAGAGGGGGAGCATAACTGTTATTGGGCAGAATAGGTCGAGCCCTTACACAGAACCAATGATAAACCAGAGGGTGGAGTGGGAGACGATACAATCGTGCATGCAGGCTGTCCCGGTGGCTGGCCGTACAGTACAGAGTTGGCATCAGATTTATACTGGTATTACAGTGTGCCTATTAGATTCATTAGTTTCGTAGAACACAAAATGTCTGATATGGATACAGCTGATGAAGTTGTTGATATAAGCTGCACACCGCCTAAAAAAAGAGCTAAAGTCTTCATTTTAGCATTAGCGAAAATCAAATAATTATCAACATTTATAAATACGAAAGGCAAGGAAGGAGTGACTCAAGTGTTCAGGACATTATTTGCAAAACTGACATCTACATATTTTCCAATACTTTTCAACTAAAATTATATTTTATTTTTGTTTTTGTACGAGTATATGCTATATCGATATAGGTAATCGAGCAATCATTTTGTTGGGTTTTTAATGCTTTCCATGGGAGCGGTGTTAAAGTGTCCAAAATGAATTATATTTAAGAAAAAGTAAGCGACTGATAATTTGTCACATCGGTAATGAAAATGGATTTGTGTCCGATGCTTTATGGGTATTTGAATGAAAAAAACGGGAGACTACCATGAAGAAATGGATGGAACCCCGTTCGAAAATTGGTTCTCAAATACTAGATAGATAACTCGGTTATAGTATTAGATAACGCTTCCCACTTTAGTTGGCCCAACTATTGAAATCTTAGTTTTTTTCTTATCAAACACAAATAATAAAAATGTAGCATGGTGTTATAGGTTTAAAATATTAACAGTGAATATTTTGACAATAGATAGTAGAAAACACCAACTTCATCACTCCCTAATCAAATTTGCAGCATAAAAATAACATATGTTGCAATTACAGCATATCAACCTATTTTCATTTCAATGCAAAATAAGTCTATAACGCACAGGTGGTCATGACAGTTAAATTCAAAAAATAAATTAATTCTAAGCTTTACGTTTGGACCCTATACATGCCTGCAATAATTTTGCATACTTTTTGATCGTATCGTAGAACCACAAATCATTTATTCTTAGTACGGCCCTGTAACGTGCTCGGCGTTCTGGAGCGCGATCACGTGGAGTATACGTGAATATGCTTAGGTTTCGTCTCTTTCTTCGATAAATACACAAGATGAGTGGTTTCGGTTGATAACTATACTTAACTAACAAAGACGTTCAAGAAAAGCCAAATATTGATGAAATTAAGAATCGTGATGGAACAATATTAACAGATAAACGACAAATATCCGATGCATTCTTAAATTTTTTCACTAATGTTGGAGAAAATTCAGTATTAAAAAAATGGTTTCGAACGAAAAGTTCACAAAAACCCAACTTCCCAATTCATTCTTTTTAGAAAGCGTTAGTCCGATTGAAGTACAAGAAGCTGTCCTATCACTTAAAACCAAAAAAGTCCTGGTGTAGATGGTATCAAAGCTGACCATTTAAAAATAATAGCCTACGACTTAGCCGAACCACTTTCTTACGTCATTAATTGGTGTTTCCAATCTGGAATTTGTCCTGATGCATTTAAAACAACTGTTATTACTCCTGTTTATAAAAGCGGTGACAGAATGGAAACAAAAAATTATAGACCCATATCAGTACTATCGAATATAGCCAAAATTTTCGAAAAATTACTACAAAAAAGGATATTACAATTTTTGGACAAAAACAAAATTATATGTTCTGACCAATATGGATTTAGAAAAGGAAAATCTACTACAGATGCAATTTTGGCTGCAATGGATGAAATTAACTCTAATGTCAACAAAAAGATACCTACTATTGGTATCTTTGTTGATCTAAAAAATGCCTTTGATACGGTTAACCATGTCGAGCTTCTGAAAGTTATGGAAAGATTGGGATTTAGGGGAGCGTCACAAATCCTTTTAAAAAATTACCTTTCAAGTCGGGCACAGACTGTCAAAATCACTAACACTTACAGTAAAAAAATGTACATCAAGTGTGGCGTGCCTCAAGGAACAGTACTAGGCCCACTATTATTTAGTCTCTACTTAAATTACTTATTCAAAATTAACAGTTCTGGAACGATTATATGTTTTGCAGATGACACCCTCGTATTATATAAAGCTGATGACTGGAGCACACTGAAGCAAATAGCTGAACAGGATTTTATAAGGATCACTGACTGGTTTGATACTAAAATTTTAACAGTTAACTTCAAAAAAAACAAAATTTATTGCATTTACATCCTATTCAAAATTTTTACCTACCATCGAACAAATTTCCGTTAATTATCATGGCCAAAAGACCAAAACCAATAGAGTTAACACTTTGAAATATCTTGGAATATTTATAGACTCACATCTAAGGTGGGATAACCATATTAAATGTTATCAAAAAAATAGAAATGTTGCCTATAAACTCAAAATGCTTGCTAACATTCTTACAGAAAGTTTTCTGCGAATCCTATACCATGCCTTAGTTGAAACCCACATAATATACGGCATCACAGCCTGGGGTGCCGCCTGCAAGACATATATTTCTGACCTGAATATAGCACAAAAAACTGTTTTGAAAGCCATTTTCCATAAGCCAAGATTATATCCAACGAACATCTTATATCAAGAAATAGGGATACTTGATACAAGACAACTTTATTTCTTACATGCCACCACCTTATACCATAAGTATTGTAATAAAAAGAAAAAATCCCATAAACACGAGCATAACACACGATTTCGAATAGGTTCATCTAATATCCAAAGACCACACAAAACATTATTCAAAATATCATTTAAATTCCTAGCAGCTAAATTATATAATGTAGTACCAAACGAAATAAAGATACTTAATTTTGGAAAAAAATTTAGAAGAAAATTGAAAGACTAGTAATGTGCAGCGAATGACTATACATAATTATATAGAAAACTAAAACTACAAAATTACCATTACATTAATACCTTTTAGATTAAACAATAATTGTTATACACATATATGATTGATTGTTAGTTATTAAGATATAAACCACACACAGGCGATGCCTTCTGTGGTTTTTTCATATTTATTTGCCCATTTTTTGTATTTTGGCGAATAAATATTATTATTATTATTATTATTATTATATGACTGTAGTTTTGAAATCTCATGTATCTCGGCATCCTGGACAAATGTCTCAAAGGACATAAACCCCAAAACTTAACTCTGTGAGCTTGTACAATCATACGGCCGCGCACTGAGGCAGATTGCACAAGAATGGATTGATGGATGTAATAGTGATATTGATAGTCTTAATGTGAATGAAAAATCTGTCAATAACTGTTGGATACTGTACCCTGTATATTATTTCACTTCCATACAAGCAGTTGATATACAGCATCTGAGCCATTGCAGCTACTAGTGGTAACATAAATCCTAGATCAGCAACAGAAATCTGGAATTTTAATAAAAGTTTATTTACTGTCTCATCATAGCGCGAATGCCGGCCTCAGTATGACATCCGGATGCAAACGATGGGGTTGCAAAAAGTACCACAATTTCTGGGAACTTTTTGCAGGATAACATTACTTGATCAATGTAACATTTGAAATGTATCCGGTAGGTTTTGATGGTGATAATCCCCCATGTTTCTGCGGACGAATCAAACCACGTATATGCTTTAAGCATCCCACAAACCGGCGCGAAATAATCGCGGCGAAGTATTCGCAACGAAATTCAGAGCGAAAATCGCAATCTGTTTCGCCTGTTTATTCATACCAAAGCGTCTTATTCGCTCCGCGAACGTGAAGGTTTCGACAGGTTGCGTACATTTTATTTTTGCCTTTTGCAATGAGCTCGTCTTCAGAAGAAGAGGAGGCACTTCTGTTTCTTGCTTTAGAAGAGGAACAAAATGCACGGTAAGTTATGTTTATTTAACGCCATTTGATAGTTGGGTATGTATTAAGTTTAACGAAGTACATAAAACAAATATTTTCAATTTTGTTTAGGAAACGAAGGAAGTGGGTACATGATATTAACTTGGAACGAAATAAATTTGGAGAATACCATACCTTGATGCCACAACTTCGGCTAGATGAACAGCGCTTTTACGTATATTTTAGAATGACTCCAGAGTGTTTCGATGAAATATTGAACTTGGTGAAAGATGAAATACGAAAATCTGACACAAATTATCGTGAAGCTATTTCGCCAAAAGAACGACTTGCTATTACACTCAGGTAAAAAAATTATATGTATTAAAATTAGTAGGCTTATCAAATACGAAAACTTCAGGGATCGTGAAATAAATATTTTATTGTAATAATTGGACTACATGTTGCCACTAGGATTAAATGTTGCTAAATAATTCGAGGCAGAATTTGCCTCCTCTGTTGGGTATATTATTGGAGTAAACCCAGTGCCGCTTGGGAAGGACGACATACTACTATCATACATACTTGCAGAATTCTGGGCAGACGCTGAAGACATTTCTTCAATATGTTCAAATTCTTCGTGCGCTATTAATTCGGCTATTTTTAGTTTTATTCGGGCTTGACGCTTTAAGGGAAGTGCTTTCACAGTCTGTGCATGTGCTAAGAAAAGTGAATCAATGGCCTCGTTCTCTTTTTAGGTTTTTTACCTTCAAAATAATTAATGAGCTGTTGTACAGACGAAGATGGTGGTTCATAGCGTTTTCTGCTCGTTTTATATTTTGGTGTAGTTGCAGTCTGCGGAAAGGTGTGCCCTGGAGTAATCACTGCTGTAGTGTTCAATGAAGAAGGTGGTGCTGCCTGTGTTGCCGAGGCGTTCTGTGCATCTTCTGCATCTACGTACATCAGCATTTTCGTCTTCTCCATGGCCGCGGTCTTCCAAATTTTCGGTTTCTACATTTCCAGCCCTTTCCTGATATATATTTGAGCTAAAATCGGCAGTCTCATAATGTATGACGTCAATATCTTTCACATTAGACGACGTTTTGGCAAATGCCAAAAAAGGACGGAAAAATTCCATGTAGTCAGCCCACTGCCATTTTTTTATGTTGCCCACTGCTTGGCCGGTCTTTGGTTTGGTAGATTTTATATATTTTGCAAATGTGTCTCTGATATTCTTCCACCTTTTTTTTACTTCATCACCTAAAAACGATTTTTTTATAGATTCCTTGCCACTGGTGACACCTTCTATACCATTGGGCATAGCTTTCGAGTTGGCTTTACAACAGTGAGTGCAATCGTAACCGAAGTCTGTGAAGCGATCTGCAGACATATGGAACATATATATTTACCAGAACCAACAGAGAATATATGGAAAAAATGTGCTGAAGAATTTGAAAATAGATGGGGATTTCCCAATTGCATTGGCAGCGTGGACGGTAAACATGTAACAATCAAGATACCTAACAACAGTGGCTCCAATTACTGGTGCTATTTACATAAATATTCAATAGTACTTATGGCCATTGTTGGCACGGACTATAAATTTATACATATGTGTTGATATTGGTGGTTTCGGAAAAAGTAGTGATGGGGGTATTTTCGAAACCTCAAACATGGGAAAACGATTTGAACAAAATTTATGGAGTCCCTGCACCTAGATTTCTCCCTGGGCAAAATGAAATCTGCTCGTACGTCTTAATTGGTGATGAAGCATTTGCTTTAAAACCATACCTTATGAGACCATTTCCTTATAAGCAGACTTTAACAGACGTCAGAAAAGAGAAATACAATGTAAGACTTTGTCGAGCTAGAAGGGTCGTGGAAAATGCGTTTGGTATTTTGTCTCAAAAATGGCGAATATTTTACAGGCCATTAGAAACTAAAGTAGATACTACTATTCTAATTGTACGTACGGCATGTGTTTTACACAATTTTTTACGAAGTAAAAGTGGCGATGACAAATATTTTCAATTCTTAGATCCCCCAGAACCCGTGCTTGGAGCTCTTACTGATATAGCAAATGATCCTCGGCGGGTAGCAAGGCTAGCATTTTCTATTCGTGACAAATTCGTAAATTATTTTAATTCTGATATGCCTATGCCCGATATATAGAATGTTCGTTTACACATTTGTGTAGACTGTAAATTACAAGTTAATAAAAAATATTAGGTACATACCATTTGTATTTAATTCTTTTCCTATTTCCATCCAAATCTTGTCTTTCTTTCTCACATTCCTGTATTCATCGTTCGACAAATCACACAAACAAGGATACTTTTTCACTATTTCTATCAATAATTCCGTTTTTGCCATTGCGAATTTTTGAAGAACGGCGTCAAAAACGCGGTCAAAGGCGAACTGAAATACGCCGCGATAAAAACGCTGGAACAATCGCATTCGCTTCGCACAAGTCTGAGCCTGTCCGTAAACCGCCGCGTTTTAATCTGACCGCGAATTCATCGCCGCGAAATTTTCGCAGCCAAAGCGAATATTTCGCGCCGGTTTGTGGGATGCTTTATTGTTCGATGTTTCGGTCTCGATGGTGAGCTTTTTCAAGTACGATTAACAAAAAAAGGTACATGGAAAAGGTCACCGTCGGGACCAAGACGTCGCACAATGAAGAGGAATTTTCAACGTACAGGTATGAATAAAAAATAAAGGTGATGTTACCCAATGGTAATCTTTCAATTGTTGCTTTGTTAACTTCGCGCATTTATTCGTACATTGTTTATTTGTTCAGACGTTCTATTAGTTATAGGTCTAAGGCCCGTATCGTCAGTCGTCCCTACAATTGTAGGGCGCGTTTATGGCCTCCTTGATTGTCATACTCCTTTCTCTACTTCAAAAATTTCTAGATTACAATTGTCCCGTGTCAGCGTCAGCGCTCTCCTATTGTGAAGATATGTTTTCTTTTTAAATTGTAGGAAATTTCAGGCTGATAAAACATGATACAACTCAAAAGCAAGCACAATTTGATGCAAATAGTTGTTTGTGACATAACCTCAAAATAGAGCGCTGTCACGGAGAAGCAGAAAACTATGACAATCAAGGAGCCAAATATGTATTTTTTACGACTAGAGTGTATCTAAAATGTTTTTGAGAAAATAAATTGTTTTAGAAGTAAATAGTTTCGTCATGTTTAATTTATAAGGGCATATTTTGGTACAAATCTTGAAGTGGGCCAACTGAAGTGGGAAGGGGCTCGTATACTCAAATATTTTCTACTGTTACACCGAATAACCCCTACAAGTTTGATCCTATAGTTCTGAAACATCCTGTATAAGCACCGGGAGTGGTTCTTATCTGAGGCCAGCACTGCAGAAACTATGTATACTCACACCTGCTGTTAGCCGAAATAGCCCTGTACACAGTATAAGTATTTCACAGCCGAAATATGCCATTAGCGCAATATGTTGGAGATGTTGGACTCTTCTTGCCATGCTTGAAAAAAGATAGGTCTTTTAAGATGCATAAAAAGAATAAGGTACTAATTAGTAGGTGCCTTAGAGCTTCATAGGTTAGCTACAGTATATTCAGATAAGAGATAGACCGGATGTAAACAAAAGGTTCGGGTGATTTTCACGCTAACGCCGCCGTCTCGACGTAAAACAGGAGCCCTCATTGGTCAATTCGCAATTAAATGCCTATGCCGAGCGGCAGAGCAGTCGTATCAAGGCAGAGTCACATTCAGGTTCAGACGTGTTACGTATGTCGTGTGCATCATTGCAATTTGATATTTCTTTGGGCGTTTTCGTTTGTTATCTTATTAAGTTGTTGAGTTTGTCGTTGTTATTGTTATACCTTGTTATTGATTGTTATTGTTATCAACTGCTTGCGCAAAATGCCCAGTAGTACAGATACTGCCGATGAAGTTGTAAACTCCTGTAGTCCACCTAGGAAACGCTCTAAAAAAAGACACCTGAGTGCAGAAATGAAAGAGGTCATTTTGAATATATATATATATATATAATATCGAGCGCGAGGTGAACGAGGCATCAACCATCAAAGAAATTGTTGTGAAGGTTTCTCACAAAGTTGGGGTGTGTCGCGCATCAGTGTTTAATGTGTTAAGACAATACAAAAAAAAATCACACCTTTTCTGAGCCAATGATCAGTAAACATCGCAAAAGTATTCTTAAATCATTGGATGAAGCTGATAAGCAGGCGATTAGGAGGAAAGTGCACGAGATCTTCTTTAGGATTGAAATACCTACTATAGATAAAGTACTGCAGGAGGTAAATGGAGATACAACGTTGCCAAATTTCAAACGATCAACTTTCCATGCGTTACTGAAGCATTTAAATTTCAAATGGAAAAAAGGGGGTCGTAATAGTTTACTACTGGATAGAGAAGAAATTGTGCTATGGAGGAGGGATTATTTAACAAAAATTGGGAAATATAGAAATCAAAACAGGAAGATTTATTACCTTGATGAAACGTGGGTAAACGCAGGACACACTACAAGTAAAGTCAAACCTTGGGAACAAGGTTCTAAACATTAATTCCAGGGGGCAGATAAAACATATTACAAGTAACAAAACTTTTATAACTTTCGATAAAATGCGTGGATGTTTTATTGTCATTTTCATTTGTTAGAACTTTTTTAACCCATGTTTTTATGTGTTTTCGATATTTCAATAATTTTTTAATATAATCTTAAAATATGTCGAATATTATAAACTTAAAAAAAGTTACTAAGTTTTATATTGTGTACCGTTCCTAATATTTCTAATCATTTTAATTCATACTTTAAGCTTTAAAAAGTTATAATTTGTTAATATTAATATTTGCGCGTATTTCAGGTTCCTGATCATTCATTTTTTAGAGGTTTATAACTTTAAATTAAATTGTGAAGCGCTGAGTAATCATACGACATTCAATATTCTTTCTTTCAATATGACTAAATAATCCCAATTATAGCAATCTGATACTCATGTCTCAATGTTTTTTCGCTGAATGTGATGAAAACATTTGAAAAAGGTTCGCTTATTGAAATAAATCTACACCAGTTAGTACTTCGATTTCCAGGTAAAGGGAAAAGGCTCATTATCTGCCATATTGGCAGTGAGGATGGATTTGTTGTTGACGGTCTGTGGTGCTTTGAGTCTAAGAAAACTGGAGATTACCACGAGGAAATGAATGGCGAATCGTTTGAACAGTGGTTTTCAAAAATTTTACCGAACTTAGAGGAAAACGCAGTAATTGTGTTGGATAATGCGCCTTATCATTCTCGAAGAATGGAGAAGGTCCCAACAACGGCTTCAAGGAAAGTTGATGTTCAAAATTGGCTCCGCTCGAAAAATATCAACTTTGAAGAAGCAATGCTGAAAGTACAATTATTAAGAATTGTCAAGGATCACAAGGCGGAATATCAAATATACGCCATTGACGAAATGGCAGCAAGTCAAAATAAAACTGTGCTCCGTTTACCTCCATACCATTGCGAGCTCAATCCCATTGAGCTCATATGGGCAGAGGTTAAAAATTATATAGCTAAGCACAATACAACTTTTAAATTTTGTGACCTCAAAGGACTTTTCAAAGAAGCACTAGAATTAATAACAGCGCAAAAATGGGAAAACTGTATTAAGCACGTGAAAGACAAAGTTGAAAAGAGAATGTGGGAACTGGACAATATTTTAGAGGAACAAGTCGAGCCATTCATTATTGACGTTGGTGCTTCAGGCAGTAGCGATGATGAAAGCTCATCAAGCTCATCTTTCCAATAAAAGATGTCGTTCATCAAATTCGGTAAGTTATAAGTAATTATAAAGCTACTGTATTTTTTAATTAATTTTTGACATTTTTGAACCCATTTTGGCAAAACCTATTCAAGAATCTACTTTCTGACAATGTTCAACCAAGCACATTTTTTTACGTTTTGAACGTTTTAATTTGGTTACATATTTACCTAGAAATCAAAAAATATACTAATCAATATTCTAAAAGCAATTTTAAGAGATATACGATTATTTTTAATTTAGGCTAATTTAAACGCCATTTTGAGATTATATTCGATTGTATTTCACCAAACATCAGGCGGCATTCGAAGCTGGAAATCGAAGCGAAAATTTTGAAACCCTTATGTATATTTACATCATTATATATTTCTTACCCCACTCCCACATGATCCTATATCCATCACCAATCGTATACACATCGAATTGTGCTAATTTACTACAAAGTTACGCAAAGCAGCATCTACTATCTAAAATATGTACTGCGTGACTCTTAATACGTCCCTGCCGAATGTTACAGCGTTCGATGGGTGGTTCGTGGTCTTGTTTATGTCCGGTCTATCTCTTATCTGAATATACTGTAGATTTGATTCAGAACAGAAACTGCAGGCGGTGTTCAATTTTGGATTATCTTTATGTAATCCACAGACTATTCGTAAAGTATGTTTTTTTTTTCTCGTCCAGGCTAAGTACTCATAAGCATAATTGAGAAAAAACATTATATGTACAAATACAAGGTGGCCGATATGCAACTGACTGGTTTGTATCTTGAATATTTATGAAGCGAAATAAAATACATCAATTTTTTTTAACTTAATCTTTTATTGAAGCTTAGAAATTATTTATAAAAAATAATAGACAAATGTCCGTCTCTAAAAGCCGCGCAAACCTAAGCTCTCTTGATTCCATTTTCCATCACATTTTTGGTAGGTTTTGGGAGGAACATTTCCAATCGCTTCCGTAATATTGTTCTTCAGCTGCTCTAAAGTCGGGAGCTGTTAAATCCGGTGACCTTGGTGGCCAGTTGACATCACCAAATCGAGAAATTAAACGTCCAGGAAATATTGTTCGCAAAAAATTCATTCCCTAGCTACGTGACAACTTTGGCACCATATCACGGTAGCGGTGGCCGTTGACAGTAAGAGAATGGCCTGCAGTGACTCGAGGATGTAGTGGTCGTTGATGGATAACACGAGGGTTCTCTACTGCCCATATACGACAATTCTGCTTACTACACATACTACACATATGCTCATATCGGAGTCGGCTTCATCGATCATTATCAGTTGTCGGTAAAAGTCGTCATTTTGGGTATTAACCTGCAATATTGCATGACTGTATTGTCGGCGACTTTCACCATTTCTCTGCGGTGTTGTCATATCTAGATTTGATATAGCAGTATCGAAATCTCTACTAATTAGTTGTACCTCTCTGTGGGCGAATTTGCAAGATGTACTCGGGGCCTGCGCAGCTTCAGTGATGATGTGATTATTCTTTCTGATCTGCCTCAGTATGTCAAGAATACATTTTCGATATTACGTTCAATCTGTCACTTGTGAAGTCTAATATTCCATTCAAAATTGGAATATGCGGCAACCTTGGTAACACCGCTAACATCCAACAGCTGTCCAACAGCCAGCTAACCTCACATTCTGAGCCTCTATTATGTATCTTTCTATGCTATGTAAACTGAAAATTATTGATGTTTTAAACTTATATTTGTGCCTCGCGATTGTTTAGCTAAGTTTTCAAAATGCCTTACAAGTGCTGTGTTCCTAATTGTGCCGGTAATTATGGGAAGGGTCCGAAGGTACACGTATTTTCGTTTCCGTTGAATGAAAACTGTCGTAAAAGATGGCACAATGCAATCCCTCGTAGTGATTTAGTGGTTACAAAAAACACCCGAGTATGCAATTTGCACTTTGCTGAGGACAGCATCATTTGGGAATCCACCTTCCATGACGAAAAGACATTACCTTAAGTATCCAAAATTAAAGGCAGATGTAATTCCAAGTATCTTTACAAATTGTCCAAAATACCTTTCAAACGACATATCAAGCAGAAGAAGCCGAGATGAGAAATTGAGGGACAAGGAACAAGAACAACTACTTAAAGCACTGCAAAGTAGCATTGATGATTATTCCTCCTATCAAAAATCAACTTGTTTTCAAAATTCAGACTTTCTCACAGTTTTCAGTTCATGGCAATGTCCATATGGGTGGCATAAAATGGTATAGGATAAAGTTACTTTGTTTAAGTTACAATATAAACCAGCACCATCATAACTCACTCTGTAATTTTTGATATTCATTGATATATGGAAATGGTGAAGAATTGTCAATGTAAAAAGTCCATTGAAAGAAAAGCGGTTAAATGACCTTTATGCAGAGCCTATTGCTTGCTCCAACAGTGATGACAGTAAGCTGACATTCTTGCAAAAAATGCTAGATTGGCAAGAAGAGTGGAATGATCCAGCAAAATTTTCAAAAAGTACTAACTAGTCAGACTTACACTGCAGTACATCCTACAGTATATGGATTATCGGAATTAGTATGGTACTGTAAATCTGAACTGCACAGTAATTATATATTGTTAGGTATATTTCAAACTGACTAATTGGAAAATAGATTTGGTAAGTATCGTCAACTGGCAGGGGGTCAATATAATATATCAATTCGTCAGTTATATGAATCTGAGAAAAAGTTACGAACTCAAAGCCTGATGTTTGAAGTCTCGCTATGGTGTTATACAAATAAATAAATTCCGTAGAAACGATGATTTAAAAATAGATGAAATTCCACACAATTTTAATGATTACCACTTACAGTCTGATATTGATAGTATAACTGACTGTATAAGAATACTTACAGAATAACTTCGCCATAATGTCTGATGCAATTAATAACGGCTCTAGAACCTTCAGAGGTTATCGTCTTCTGTCTCAAAATATCTACTTGAATAGCTACTTCGATGAGTAAATTCGAGTTCAGCGACACGTTAAGGAAGCACACACATCCAAAGTACATCAGAAATATCCCTTGGTAAATTATAAAATACCTACAAAGAGACGATGGAAAATGTTAATAACGACGAAATCAGAGCGGTATTACAGATATAAGCTGCTTTTTGTAGCTATCCTGCTATACAAATACAACAAAAGTTAGTTCTTATCGCAGTAGGAGATATGATGCTCGTTACCCTTAAAGCCGGGGTTCGACACTTTTTGATATCTTCTTTAGGACTAGAAAATGCGGAAAATTTTTTTACAAAATCCCAAATAAAGTTATAATACCCAAATATATTAAAAACAAAAGCATACCCAAGCAAACAACAAATATACTAAGTGACATATAAATCCGAACACCCAGTTTAAATGGTTTTATTTTAATAAAATTTTGTATAAATACTTAATGAAGCATAATAAGTAAATGATAAAAATTTCAAAATGATTGCACTGCTTTGAAGCCCTTTGACCTTTAATAATGTGTGGATGCACCCTGATGTGCTACGCATTCTCCAACGCGCCTAGGCATGCTTCTGATCAGGTGGTCAATGTCCTCCTGTGGTATCTCATTCCAGGCAATCACCAACTCCTCTCGAAGTGCTTCTAGAGTCTGAGGAGGACGTTGCAAATTGAGCAATCTCCTACCCATCATATCCCACACGTGCTCAATTGGGGATAAGTCGGGAGATCTTGGTGGCCATGGTAACACTGTGACATCATTATGTTGAAAGAAGTCTATTGTGACTCTTGCAACATGTGGTCGGGCATTATCTTGTTGGAAAATTGGATCTGCCAGGGTGTCAAGATAGGGTAAAAGATGGGGTTCTAGAACTTCGTGGATATAACGCTGCGCGTTCATGTTACCTCTGATGAAGATTAAAGGTGACCTGGAACCATAAGCTATAGCACCCCAAACCATAACTCCAACAGTGTGGTGAACATGTCTTTCAACAAAAAACTGTGGATTCCTCCTTTCACCACGTCGCCTTCCAACCCTGGCACGACCATCGTGCATGCCTAAACAAAATCGAGACTCATCACTAAAGACAATACTGTTCCATTCCTGATCCCAGAGTAACCGTTGTCTGCACCACTCAAGGCGATTACGTCGGTGTTCTCGAGTTAAAGGGAGGACCCAGTGTGACCGGTATGAAAACAAGCCAAAACTTCGCATTCGTCGGTAAACACTTCGCATGCCAATAGGTCTTCCGTGTTCTGCAAACCATTCATTTGCAATGGACCTGGTAGTGGAGAAACGGTCCCTTAAGGCCAATAATCTTAAGCGGCGATCTTCACGGTCTGTTCTTCTACGGCGGCGTCCAGTGCCACTTGCTCTTTGCGTACGGCCTTCTCGAAGCTATGCCTGACAACACCTAACCACAGTGTCTACACTTCTTTGCACTTTAACTGCAATTGCCCGAAAAGAAAGTCCAGCTTCCCGAAATCCCACTATACGGCCCCTATCAAACTCGATAAGTTGACGAAATCGTACAGGTCTCCGTACTCTAGGCATCGTAACCGATCGTAAAGGATGTCAAGAACCAAAATCCGCCAACGTTGATTCTTTACTGCGGCTGAAATATTCATTTTTAGAGCGTTAGTGAATTAAAAAAAAGCAGTATAAAAACCGGAATGTCCAACTGATAAGGCTGAAAATTTTTTCACTTGTTATTTACAGTAAGATAAATAGATTCACCAACTTTTATTAAAATAAAACGATTTAAACTGGGTGTTCGGATTTATATGTCACTTAGTATGATATTCACTAGCGCTGATGTACGGCACGCCGTGCTGTCGGCCGGTCGACCGGCCTACTCGTGGTGACGTCACGCGTTTGTTGTTAGGCCTTGTACTCTCGGTGTTAACGTGCCTAGACGTATACAGCAGTGTATTCAGCAATTATTCTTTTTTGTCTTATTATTTATCAATAAAATGTTGTGAGAATGTTATCGTTTCATTCTTGGTGTAAGACGACCTCGTTGCCAAAAAATCAAGTCACTGAGAATATTTGGCCAGGAATCGCAGCTGCAACGGAATTAACACGTTCCGCTTTCACCGTAAGGATCCGGTGGATCCTTCACCATTTTTATCACACGTCAAACAACAAAGTAGGCGAATTCACCATTTCTTAATGCAGACTTTATAAATGATTTAATATAAAACCAAATATAAAATGAGCCCCAGAGACAACTTCAGGTTGACGCTGCACTTCCCACTTAAGGGCAAAAACACAGTGGAAGCTGGTTTCCTGCTTACCGGCAACCAGCGCCGGTAGATAGATGTAATACGGACAACGTAGAGGAATGCCTTGACAATTTTAGATACAAATACAGCAAAATTTGCAGGTAAAATCCTTGTCTGGTGCACAATTTCTAACAGCGGTGTATCCCAATCTTTTGTGGGAACAGTGCAGAGTGAAGCTTTTATTAGTCAGCAATTCCAAATTGCTCCAGTTTGTTCACGAACATCATGCACCATATCATGTTTTGCCATTACTCAAGAGATACCCAAAATTGGACAACACAACAGACCTTTTGTTCCCAAAAACGATAATCCTCTTAACATGTCGAAGGATTTTTGGGCTTTTAAGACGGCAATTTTACGAAAAACTGAGCTAAATTGATTTAAATTCCGACCATGACGTCATGAGATACATTGGAAGAAAGTCGCGACTGGTAGAGCAGAATGGGTCACTCCACAAAATTCGATAGTATAGCTTAGATAAGAATTGAGTTGTAATTCATGATAACTAGCTAGTGTTTAAATAAATTTCTTCGTTAAAAAAAAGCCGATGAATATTTTGTGCCAAGACTTCTAGGACATACGTTACAGTCTACTATAGGAGCAAAATTACACATCACATTTTAAATATCGGAAATCTAACCTGTACGGGAACCAAGATGGAATATACGCTATAAACATCGGTTTCTCGTCATCCGAGAACAGCGGAATGAGGAGTCCAAAAACACAGGCAACTATAGAGGACGCTGCAATACATATCCTGACCGTATTGCCGGACTTTTTTCCAGAATCAGCTATACGTAACTGCTCCCTACTCGTCGGCTGGAACAGATTCGATTGTAACTGGTCGACGATGTCCTCCAGAACAGGCGTGTTGGCGATGATAAGGCAAATTGTTATCAAATTCGCTATTCCTGTGCTGTAGATCGAAATAACATTGGTCACGTCAGTTATGGTGATGTTACCCCATGCAAAGGCGATATACGCCCAGCCGAAAAAGACGTAGCTGAATAGACCCGCCACCACCACGTACCTATAATATAAACAAGAAGAAAATACACAAAGTTCAATATTCCTTAATGATATGCGAATATTTAATGGTGTGAATCTACGTAAAAAATTAATGTTGGTTTGCTCTATAAACTATGGTCCAAAAATGTTTCCTTACAAAAACTCGGGGTGTTGAAGTTTTAGGAAAAAAATGGATATTAATTAATATGTTCAGAACCGCTTCAGATATTTCACTGATATTTAGTACGTAGTGAAAGTTAATAAAGTTGCATATTTTTCAATGCAAAAATAATTTGTAGCTACAATCACGAGCACCATCTGCTAAGGTAACGGGGGGGTGAAAAGGAAACGAGGGTGGGCTGGCCTTAGACGGTCGTCGGCGCTACTTTAAAAGAGGAAAGGATGACTGCGGATGCGTACTGAGGTAAATTTTTATAATAACAGAGTCGGATTTCTATTAGCGATCTAGCCTGTAAATCGTTTCCTATTTTGGTACTCAGCAAGTGATCATGTAGTATTGTTCTACACTTGTTACTGTTCGTCCTATTGTGTTGTTGAATTGTTGTGCTGTACTCTTGTTAGTGTGATTGTTCTTGAGTGCCTTTTTTTATCAAGGTTGATAATGGACAATAAAAGGTCATATGCGACAGTTTTAATTACGAATGCAGTGAGTTTAATTCATGATGAGGACAATAGTGCGGAGCAGTTCAACTCTATAATCGCAAAATACATTGGGGTAAGCGAATAAATTATTGCAAGAAGAGGTCATACCATGGAAGATGTGCTGCAGATGTAGTGAGCCACAATACCAAGCGACCTATCTATGTGGTCCAAATAAATGTGTGTTCTAAGCTTAGTCCAACCTTTTTCTTAGTGTAACACCTCTATACTATAGGGTGCCTTCGAAGTTGAGTCATTTATTTTAACAGTGACTAGATCTGATCAAAAGAAATGTTTGTTTCCTTTTACATTTTTCTGGTAAAAATAAAGTAACAAAGTTATAGCCCTTTAGAAGTTTGAGTACCGCCCTGTCTCAATAATAATATTATGTGCTCGTGTTTGGCAACAACAGATATAATACGCCTTATTGGTTAATCGCATCGGAAACAGAAAAGCGAAAGAATTTGAAACGCTTATTACGATGTTTTTACTACAATTTTATTGAGTTGTATTCAGTCAATGTGTCAGTCGGTAACGCGTGAGTGAATAGTGGTGTTTGTTGCGTGGGGGGGACTTTGACAATGGGAAAATCATTATTTAAGATGACTTTGAGTAGTTCTGAAATGAAGAAAAACGATAGATGTAATACGGACAACGTACAGGAATGCCTTGACAATTTTAGATACAAATACAGGGTGCGGCAGAGAGGGGGGGGCGGGAGTTTTTACAAAATGCTGCCGCGGCATCACTGATTTATGCGGATCGGTTTCCCAATCAAGTGCAACCAACCCCTCGTGCCTTTGTTACTGTAGTACAAAGGGCTCGTGAATCAGGTGACTTAAGACCTCACAGAGGAAGGCCTGCCGGTGCTCTAAGACCGCACGATCAAATACAGGTCCGCACTGAAATACTTGTCGGGACGATACTTTATAAAACAAGGTAAAATTTTTTTTTTAATTTTTTTTTATTTTTACACACATATTTTGGTTTATCTTCCTTCTACAATCATTATCTGAAAATTAATGACTCAACTTTAAAGTCGCCCTGTATATATTTGATATTCTCAAGCTTTTATTTAACTTTAAGCTGTTTGTTACTATGTGTGGGACA